GTTTTATTGTTTCATTTATGCAACTCTGTGTTAGTCCAGAGTTACAATATTTGTTTTTATATGTCCTGAAATACAAGAGGCATTCTGTGGATCAGTGTGCTGCGGAGCAGGTCAGGGGTCACTCACTTAGGGCCACGCCATCGACACTGCGGGGGTCTCCCAGAGGTCTCAACCTACAGACACTACACCTCAAAGGAGCTGCCGCAACTACTGTTAAAATTCTTCTACAGCGCAAACATCAGAGAGGTAAACTGTAATGCACCACTCATTCCAAATCAAGAATTGCTTGTCAAAATCCAATGAAGTCATATCCTGTCAAAGTAATGTAGGGTTTCTGACTTTGTCTAAGCTTGTGTGTACAGTGGCAAGACCTATTCTCATGGTGACGTGTGGCACCCGGTGCTGGGGAAGGTCTTGGAGTGCATCCTGTGCACCTGCAGGGACGGCTTTCAAGAATGCAGACGCATCACGTGTCCCAACCAGTATCCATGCCAACATCCCATAAAAATAGAGGGGAAATGCTGTAAGATTTGTCCAGGTAGGCGTATCAGTGCTATTATATTTGTAATGATTTAAACTTCATGTTTTATCAGTGTGTTTCTTTTAACTTTTTTTCCAGAGCTCAAAGCAGAGAGCAACAGGACAGAGTGCTACCTTACTCAGGACAATAACAGTCTCCTGGTGTATAAAGTTGAACCTCCATCAGCTGCTCAGTCAGAAGATAAAGTACGGACGATTGCCATCGAGAGACAAGGAGCCACGGAAGTAGAGGTGCAAGTCTGGAAAACTGTTGAAGGTGATTTATGCAAGTTATAATGTAGAGCAGAACGACCTATTGTTGGAGACCGAAAATAGGGAGAAAAATTCTTTCACTTTACTAGATTTCCTCCAAATTCTTAGTCAATGACCTAGATAGGCAATTTTATAAAACTTTGCCGGTTCTCAGCGGCAAGATAAGGTTGCATATTATTGCTGCATGCCACTGGAATTATGTTTTTTGTAACACTTTACAATAAGGTTCTATTTGTTAACATTTGTTAACTACATTAGTTAACATGAACTAACAATGAAAAATACTTGAAAGCATTTATTAATCTTAGTTAATGTTAATTTCAACATTTCTTAATATATTATTAAAATCAAAAGTTGTGTCTGTTAATATTATTGAATGGACCTCACCTAACATGAACTAACAATCAAGAGTTGTATTTTTATATAACGTTAACAAAGATGAATAAATACTGTAACAAACGTAATGCTCATTGTTAGTTAATGCTAGTTTATGCATTAACTAATGGAACCTTATTGTGAAGTGTTAACCATGTTCCCTTAAAATTTCTTCAAATCTTTGCAGGTGTTTTGCATCTGATGGAGACAGGTGACGTTCA